GTAAGTATGTATGTATACTTATTTATGTTGCATGTTTTTCTTTTAGGACTATACAATTTTGTGTCCACTTCTTTTGGTATATTTTTTGCTCACATTTTGCCACACTTTTTGTTAGACTTTTTTTACTTATTGTCTTTTTATTGTATTGTTCATTCGAATTTTAATAGATGTTTTACTCGGGTTTTTGTGTTTTAGATGCACTGCTGCTTACATTCTTGTATGTCTCTTATCTCTTGTAGTCTTCATTTTTCACTATTAATATTGGACTATTTTGTTAGCTTTTCCTATTATTCAACTTTCTTCATTCTCTTTCTTTTTTAATTTCTGTATGTTCTAATTTCTTCCAGATTCTTGACTTGCCTTTCGTTACTCCTTTTTAAGTTCAATCAATAAATGAAATTTTGAAGAATAGTACATATTTATAAACATCATTCGTCAAAATTATCCTTTCAGAATTTTTCGCTCAAGAAGTAAAGTGTTCAAATTCCATATATCATCATATTAGAAAAGCAAAGGGAATGCATACTCCATGTAGTGTATAATACATATTTTATATTACGACGTATTGTATTAAAACAGTGAAAACACATAACTATTCAACGCACAATTTACACTCACACATCAAAAACATTAATTCTATCGCTGCAATTTACAATCACCATCTTAAAGACCATCATTATGCAAACAACTCCTTATTCAGTTCAAATTTCGCCGTGGTTTGGCACTACTTCGTGACCAACTAACTCGAAGGTGTGTTTGCGGTTAGCACCCAAGCAGAATTAACTAATAGCGTTTAACAGAGCTCGGTTGGCACCTGCTGGAGCGCACTCGGAAAGTGTGACCCAAGTGTTAAGTTTCCAGGCCCGGAGCCACCTAAACTTTCAGGAATTTAATAAGGAGTTCGGGATAGTTACAACACGAAGCGACATTAAGTAAAGGGTCCTGGTTCGGCCAGAAGTGAGCTCGAAAAGGGAAACCCCATTCCTTTTTTGCGTCGAGCTGCGTGACTCTGCCCCCAACACCCTTAAACATAGCAGAAGCTTTAACGAATGACTTCCATGATGAGATCGGAGCAAACTAGCAAGCCAAACAAAGCATAATCAAATTGACAGAAAGAACAGAACACATACTCTACACACAATTATGTACAAGTAAGTTGTCGTGGTCAATTATTTATCGGTAGATACAACAACACAGATTCATGAAGGCAAACCGACTGTTAGGAAGTTATACACGTTCGTAAATTATATTTTGAATACTGTAGATGATCTAAATAAAGTGCGACATCAATTAATTCTTCAAAACTGCACAGTTTAGATCATTTCATTTCTCCTCTGTAGATAACTGGATACACCAGAAGTTGATTTTGGAGCCTCTTTTTTTATTTGTCAATATAAAGCATCTTTTCAGTGTTTTCTTTTTTCTATATTCTCAAAATATTTTGAAAAATCGTTATACTTACTTGAAGGCTGTTTTATCCTACAAAAGATATTAAAGATATTATTAACAGCCTCTAATTGGAGTGATTCAAGTCACCTGCACCACAATACAGATAAATCCAAATCCATGACGTTTTATCGACAGGTGGAGACAATTCAATTTGTGTACTCAATAAACAATAAATCTCTAAAAATATGTGAATCCATCTGTGATCTACTGGTGTATCTTGATTCTAAATTCACATTAATATTCATGTAAGCGAAATCTGCGCTGTTTCTACTATCCTAGTTGGTTTCCAAGGAATACTAAAAAATAATTCCAGGGAAATTTACTTTTTGCCCTCTCGGGACTAAAATTGATATTTTAGTACCTGTAAATCGGGACTAAACTGGCTCTTTTTGACCCCAGGTATAAAAAGTGTTTACATGACAACCAAAACACTTTTTAACTTAAAGTCGTAAAATAAACACATCGAAAAATTCAAATTGCTCGTCTTATTTACACCTATAGCCTTGGTTACCCGACAAGGGTTACTATCGCGATTGATGATACGTAATTTCGAATATTTTCTTCCGATTTAAAATTTAGTATCTATAATCCCGAAAGAGCAAAAAATAGTACAGACTAAAGTGCGATTTAAACCATCAAGTGGTTATTACTCTTGCTAACGCTCGGGCACTAATCTCCATCTTCGGGATTACATCGTGCACTTTAGTCTCTTGGTATATAATATACTATTATCTATCTTTTTTAACGCTTTTACTGGCTTCCCAACTTGAATATTGTTCTATAGTATGAAGTCCAACACATTATAAAAATATGTAGAGATATGTTCGGACAAGTCCAACATAAACTCTTAAAAAATGTGTATTTTCATAAACATAAAATATTTATAACTAACAATTGTCTACATAAAGACTTGCTGATAGAAACTGACCTCTCATTATTTGATACGCGAAAGGTAATCTCACAATTATTATTCATTTAAATAAATTAATAAATTTTCACTATTGAACTGCGCTCTTTATTCAATTTTCATGCTTCACGGCTTAATTCTAGAAGTAGTACTTTTCTTTATAACCCAGGTTAGGGCAAAAAACATTATTTATCTGTTTATGTGTAGAAATGTAAATTCTTGTTGTATAAATTTAATCTCTTTTGTATTAGTTTGACTGCACTGAAAAATAAATTTTGTGAACAATTTCTACATTTTTTTATAAGACTTTCTTTGCTTACTTTTACTTTTCTTTTTTTTTAAGTAGAATAATTATTATTTGTACCTACTTTATCGTAATTAGGTATTAGATAAGACTAAATGTGTAATAGAAACTAGAAAGATATTACAGTTTCTCCACTCTCTCAAGGCATACAATTTTTGTGAACAATTATCCTGTAATTATCAGAATACCTGCTGTTGCATAATAAAATATTGTTGTTATTATTATTATTATTACAAAAGTTTAAAAACTGTTGATTTTTGGAGCGCAGGTTGAACCAAATAGGTATGTGTCTTTTCCGCACTTGTTTACAATACAATGAACCTTTATATTCTTATTATTATCCGCGCAAGAATAGAGAAGTTTGGAGCTCCCAAAGTCTGAATAAAGCAATGTTTCATGACCATAGAGCGGAAACGCAAAGATAAAAAAGTTTAACGCTGCAATATCACGATGGTACTCGTTCCAGAACCAGTTCACGATAATCCGCACTACTTTCCACGCATAAATCGGCCCAGGTTGCGTGCACAAGAGCAACAACAATCAGTTTCTTGAAACTACACACTTAGCGAAGAAAAAATCTACACACGCAATCATTCAACAGTAAATAAATATTACAACCCCGCTGAACAAAGGCAAGCACATGCGCTCCACATAAATATTCTCACGACAAGTTACGATTTCGCGCAATGGAACTACCAAAGCTGTAACCATTTACACGGAATGCTTGTTTTTACTAATAATAATGGTCTGAGCACAGAACGTGTTTCTTGGAAAAGGAAAGTTGACTCGCATCTTGGAAATGCAAATGAAGCCACATTAAAATTTTAAATAAACGGTGAAGATGTTAAATCGCTTAACCTTCGATCTTACATGATTAGTTCTATAGAATATCATTAGATAATGGAATAAGAGTTGTAAAGTTCCCATCTGTTTGCAGTTCGCTTGACCTCACGCCATTAGCACCTCCGGATGATTTGCAGCTGGACGTCAAAGATGCTTTTCGTTCAGTTTTATGACAGGCTTTAGATTGGGAAAGAACACTATTTTTAAACAGACTAATAAATGATTGATCGCGAACACGAAAACATCTGTCGAGTGCTAAGACTGGCACTTTCGAAAAATATTAGTGTCCAGGATCGTAGATGAATTTGAGACGCACTAACAAGAGCAATTAGTAATCCATTAGATGTTCACGATATGTGTACAAATTAACATTTGTCCCGACGGAATGCGAGGTATCATTTTACCTCTTCGTAAAAGGTTCCAACTCCATAAATTTAAGTGATTTAATCGATTCGGTCATTCCCAACAACCGTGGAGCCTAATTGAATATTTTCATAACAAATTTCACTCTACTGTACATTAGTTCCCAAATCCCTGCTCGATAATGAATTCAGTGGTAACGCAATCCGACGGAAGTTCTAATGGTCTCCACTAAATTAATCGCTCGAAACTTATTTCCAGTCCAGTTATCCCAAAACACTGTAATCCTACACCTGAAGAGGCTCTAACCCTTTTAATGACGAAATTTGGTTAAAATCCACGAACTTCTGCGCGGCTCCATTACAGCCCGAACTTCTCATTTAGAATTGTCAAAGTTTGTTCTCGAGGTGATCGTGCCCTCCCAAGAAAACAAAGTTTTTCTTTGTCTTGTTTCGACTCTCTAAATCGGCAAGTTAGACCGTTTTGTCTTGGTTAATAGCAAGAAACGGAAGCTCCTCGAGCAGACATAAAACAGACGCGATGAGAGCTCTGCGTCCTACACGTAATCTATTGAATCTATTTAAAAAATGGAGGTGCAGTTACTTGCGGGAATTCACTTAACAGAACGTCAAAGCAGAGTAATTGCTAGAAAGTTCGTGTCCGTCCAAATGTCACATTTCCTGCTAAGACTTAATCAATAAACCTGCAAGTTTACGAGGAAACCTGACATACACAATAACATCTACGGTTGTTGTGTGTTACTAAATAGTTTACTATTCTCTGACATGTTCTGGTTTCGCTCTCCGGCTGCTTTGATTCACGAACAAGCATATGCACATATGCAGAATGAAATATGGGTTATGGGAGCACTTTTTTAATACGCCTATTGAATTTCGGTACTGGCGTTGGCCAACACATCCGGCTCAATTTCGTCGCATCTAATTGCTCCTGACAGTAATCCTCGTTCGAAATAACGCAAGTCGTGGGGAAAAAAACGAATCGTTATTAATGATACAGTACCATAATGCTGCAAACTTGTTTCAGTTCCGCTCGTGATTCCCCAACCCGTAATTTAAACAAATTGGAAGAGAAAAGTGAATTACTGTTCCCTTGGCTATAAAAGAAAATAAGACTCACCTACTAGTGCGCTCTTTAAACGCCGGTTAACCTTACATTCAGCACTTAACACAGAAATTAAGGTGGCAGTTCTACTTTTACTCCACTACTATATGATTAAAGGCTGGCTAACATCGAAAAGCACATTCATACTACACCACTCGATACTTGCGTGAATTCAGGAAGCACTTAAACTTTAACCGTCCCAAAGGAATTTTTCCAGCACCGAACAGACCACTTTCGTTGAACTTTTAACCACCGTTGAAACTCACCTGCAACAAAAGGTTACATTAACATGACATGACTTAAATCGACGCAATTAAGTATACATTTATCAAAACGTGATTACCATAAAATTGAAATACAACCGTAATAAATGTTGATAAATACGGTGCTAATTTTTCACGAGAGTGATTTAGTAAACTGTTACCATAAACGGCCGTTCTACTCTTATTCGAGCGTTTTTAAATCACCGTAACTTGGCATTTACTGCGAATGCAAATAATTGCGGCTCTGCCACGATTAGTTCTGGCAATAGCAACTGTTGTGGATATTACTTTAAATAATCACGGATTACCATAACCGCAATTCCGGTTTGTTTGGGTATTTCCGTTCGAAGCATCGATAACAAAACCGCGTTCTGATAACCACTTTCATCAACAACAAAAAGAACAGAAGCCAATGAACTAACTATTTGTTTCTTACACATAAGGAAAGTTTTGAGATCGTGTAAACAAACACACATGGCGTAGTCGCTAGGATTCACTCCACACGCAGTCAAATAAACGCTTTCGTAAGCATGCCACCAATTTGGTAGCTACCTCGACTACGTAAGGTATATGGAATAGAACCGGCATTCAGGTGTTTGTTCAACGTTAACTACATATGAATTACCGCTACGGCGTCTTGTGGAGACTTTTCAGCGGTCACGTTTCATAACGCTAAGAGCTTTTATATGCTAATTAACTGGTGTTGTGTAAAAAGATGAAACAGATTAGAGGGAGCTGTAAAAATACCAATTATACCTTCGTGTTTTATCCGATAATCTTTCCACTTGATTATACTTTCCTGTTTGGTACAAAAGGGTGGCCAGACGAGGTTATATTTTTTGAGTGGGTTGCTCTTACCTGAGCGAGGACCACCGTTCTACCTGGACGCTTTCAAGCCATTATTTACTAATGACCCAAACCAGCAATCTCACAAATCGAGGTTTCCATATAAAATACAAGGTGGTGTCCGGTTCGACGGAAGCCCCTTCTAAATGGGTGGATTTATGGTCGGGGTGAGAAAAAATCGACTTAAATAGCATTTGGCTCGAGGGCGAGAGGGTTCTAGTGTGTTTGTTTTGTGTTGTGACTAATTTGTATGTATAGGGACCAACCAAAAATATTGGTGGATAGTTTATGGATGTAATGACGGAAACATGATTAAGAGTGGAATGGTTCTTGTCGTTTAACATAATAACGGGGCAAAACTTGTTCTTGCTGGTGTAAAAACCTGTATTTTTGTAATTATTCATGATTGCCAACAACTACATGTAAGCACATCATACGGAGGAGAGAATTTTTGTTCGACTATTAAACTCGGGTATCTTGAACTGGCGAACAGTGTATTTACATATTTCTAGAAGCTGCACTTGTATTTTTTCGATTGTACATATTAACAAATAATATACATATTAAGGCTAAAATTCCGCAAAGATGAGTCATTCTAATAATAATTAACAATCATGTCATGATATAAAAAAAAACAAATGGGTACTTCAGATACGTGTACAAGTTTTTAAATAACAATTACACCGCACTATACAATGTACGCGATTTAAAAATTTCATACAATGAGTTGCACGTTGCACAAACACAGTATGTACATAATTGCTTTTGATAATTTATATTGAATTTTTCAACCTACCTCAAAAAACTGTACGCCTAGCTATTTCGTGTTTTATTATTATTTTATTCTTCCAAGTATTATATGTGCATATATACTTCTACTTTTGATAAATATTAACTAAAATAATTTTTTTTCCATCCATTCCCCGATAATGGATGACGCAATCAAAATTATCGAATAATCTTTTTTAAAAAGTAAGCACAAAGTTGCTTTTATCTGTTTCAAATTTCTCCAAAAAAATCTCGGTCATCACAAAAACGGCTGATCTAATTTTCTTCGAACCGTGGGAATATTTCGATTAATTACTTAGATTAGATAAATTACATTTTAGATACCATAACTGATTATAAAACTTCAAAAACTGGTCGGAACTGGAGAGTACTTCCATTACTTCTGAAGCACAACCACGGCATGTAAAAGGGCGTATTTTTGAGTAAAAATTTACGTACCCAGTTTTTTTATTGTCTAAAATTACATGAAGTCATTTCTAAAATAAAAAATATTGTTCAAAGATTATTTCGACAGAACTTCCTTTGTTCTTGAAGTATAATCCAACAAATCACTCTTCTTTGAAAAATTATAAAATTAGATTTTACGAAATTTTATATGTATGTGGTAACATCTATAGATTAAAAAATATATACATAATAGTAATAATCTAATAACAGTGCAAGAAACAAAAAAGCCCATGAAAGATTCTCACGCGCGATGTTCGCATTGCAAGTCCGAAGTCGCCGACGATAATCAGTGCGCTATCGCATATCCTTACAAAATTCAATTCTGCCAAGTATATTTATTTGTTACAGCAACTATAAATTAAAATATTTCCTAAACCTAAACCTGGCCCTAAGATTCTTTCAAACTTTTTCAAAAACAAATCACCACGAGTTGTTGAAATTTTTCAAATTCTTTCAATTGACTATCTACTACACGATATATTAGGTAGACCTACCTAAAACACACATACTGTTCTATGTATAAAATCGCCAACAGACGACAGATTGATGCAAATAGAAAACCTACATTTTCATACTTCGAGAGTTATGAAATGTTGAGAAAATATGAAATTGCCCTTCGTCTAATGGACTATTATAATTTATAATACTTTCCCAGTTTACGCTCTCGAAGAAAAAAGTCGAAAATGTTTACACGAGTAGTTCGAATATATGTTAGAAGTACATAGTGACCACTTAGTGAGAAAGTGCGAATTCCGATCAAAATGAAAATAATGAGAGTGTAAAAAAATATTAGGCCTCAATTTTCACTGTCGAACTTAATTTACTAACACAAAAAAACAGTCTGTTAATACAAATTGTTTTTTGCATGCACAACATTCATGTACATATGTAGTGAAATAATGCTTTGCCAAAGATTCACTAGTGCTTTACTATCTTACCCCTTCAAAAATAAATTGGATTAGCTAAAAATAGACTTTACATAATCATAATACAAAGTAAGTATAACAAAGTTCACAAATAGACACTTAAATACATTAAGTTTTTTCTCGATAATATCTACATCGTTTTAAAATTAAGAGGTTTCTCAATCGGATTGTGAAGTTATTGGTCATGACTTTGATAACGATCGGATCTATTAAGTAAGTAATATTGAAACCGAGGGTCAAAATTTTAAGAAAAGTTCTTAACTAAAAAAAACTGTTAATACGACTTGAAAAAATGATTAATTATTATGTTTCCACTGTCCGTATTACTATAACGATAAAATTTTAACGATGATGTCAAGGTTGCAATTTAAACGTTGGGTAATACCAGTGTAATTTACAGTGTTGAAATAACTTTAAAATATTCGATTCGACACATCAAACTCTTCATTCCTTCAGTTCCATCAACACAAGATCTTGACACTCACTCCCAACACTACTTTATCACGAATCCCGAAAGTATGACAAGCAACTTTTCGTTAGTCAAATATTTCCAAAACACCTAAAAGCAAATATTTATAGTTTATATAACATGAATTATAATCAAATAGAAAATTGCTCAATCTTGGGCAAACAAAGGTGAAATTTACATACTGATTTGCTTGTTGTAGCATAAAATAACGAAATCGGTGGAAATGTCAAGTTCCCACCTATAATAACCGCACCGCTGAACCATTCCGATTTTAATAAGTCGACCAAATAGTTCACATTCTAGCATTCCGCGACCAGACGCAAACTATTACGGAAGCAATTCATAAAAAACGATCAAAATAACAACAAAATAAAAGAAAACATGTGTTAAATATCTGCCGCAATTTATTTCGGTAAAAAAACAAAGACTCTTTTACAAATAATTGATGTACTTGTAAAAATAGACCGCAAGAGCAGGGCCAACAGCTATTTCGAACGCTCAGGACGAGCAGATTTCGAAATAACGCATCGATTTCCGATTAAAGCTCGTTTGTAAGCGATGTCGAGTATGTTCGAGAGTAAAACGTCAAATTAAAATAATCAGTGAAGTATCGCGAATCGGCAGTAATTATTCTAATTAAGTGCGAGTTTGTTAATAGTAACGGATTTCTCATCCAATTAGCACTTTGCAAGTGTGCAAATCTATTTGGAGGCAATAATCTGTTAATGGTTGTTTTAATAAATGCTCATGAATAGGATAATGCGCGTGAGGCAAGTCGCGATTTTTGCTTGTTTGAATGGCGTTTCCTGACTGATAAACCTGTCGCTTGATAAATATTCAAAATATTCTTATTAAATTAACGAACCGATATCAGCGGGTTATAATACTTTATCAATGTATCGCCAACATGCCCGCCCAACACCTGAAAACGACTCAATTAATTTTAGCTTTTTAATGCCGTTGCCCAATTCGCTTCGATATATTTATAGAATTAATTACCGAGTTGAAAAAATTCCATTTCGAGCTGCTATTGACTTCCTAATTGCAGCCCGGAGCGGAAATAAATCGATGTAATAATTACACATTCGAACGCCGATAAAAATTAATTGTCAACAAATTATTGTTCGTATGGAAATTATGGTCGAAACTTCCTTTTTCGGCTCCAATGCGGAAGAATCAATTTAAACTGTAATTGGGCAAGTTGAGGTTCTTTTGTAAGCCGAGGAGCGTTTTTTCGTGAATAATTGGCCCGTACAGCTGTATCTCGACGTCTGTTTGTGTTAATTTGCCGGGACATTAAATTGAACGAGCTTCCATAAAGATGTTACCACACTTAATATAAATCATTAGAATATTCTCTTGTAATCGTTTTGAATAAACGCTGAACTTTGCACACCGCACAGCCATTCATTTGAATAATGAAAGCCGTTTCTATTTACATTAAATTCCGGCCACTTCAAAATATACTTGTGCTTTTATTTAGTTTTATTAACGATCGAGGTTTTAGTATCTGATGAAAATGTAAA